AGAAAAAAAAAAAATCAATACCTCCATCTGCTCTACTATTGGACAGATTTATTTCTCCAAATAAAGTTCAAGAAATTATTATTAATTTTTTGGCAACTTTGTTCTCAATAAATAAAGATAGAGATGGATATACAAAATTTTCGAAAAAGGATTTTCGTTTTTTTAATCGACTGTAGTGCCTTCCATACTTCTTCACATTTTAACTCAGACTCTCAATGTGATTTATTATCTTTATCAATAGCAGGGATACAACACTGTATTTTATCAACAAAGCTTTCACAACTATTAACATCAAATTTAGAAGAGTAAAAGTTGCTATAAAAATGTGTAATAAATTTATCTAAACTAGATCTTTACAAACTGCTCCATCAATACTGAGATCTGAAAGAGATTTTGTCTTTCCATTTCTTTTTTCAAGTGCAAAGAATAAGGGTCGCGACCCTAGCAGAATGGTGTAGAAAATTGTATCTTCCAAAATGATTCATCCACATCTCCAGGATGTGTTTCTTGTAGAAAAAAATTAAATAAACATAACTTCTCTTACAAAAACAAAAAACAAAAACAAAACTGCTTTCCTTTAGACCACATCGCACAATCCCCTGACATTCAGAGACATATAATATTATTAAGTAATAAAATATTAAATAATAACGTTAACAGCAAGCAGGGTTTACTTTGTTCTTGTAAAGAAAACCAAGGCCACTGAATGGGCATGAAGATGATAATAATAATAAAAAAAATTATGTTATCGTTCAGATAAATGAAACAAACATGACATAGCCAATTCAGTCATACTTGAAGCTAAGTAAACATGCAACCTAATAAGAGGTCAAATCAACCTTGAGTGCCTATATATCGCATTGTTTGTCAATCAAAGTTTAGTCACCGAAGGTAAAATTCAACACTACTTTACATCCGAAAAGAAGTGCTTCCTCCCATCAATGAACGTGAACGAGGGATGGAATGAAGCCTTCTTATCCGCATCCCTTGCTGCTTTAACAAGAGGCCAGAGCTTTCCCCTCGCAGCTCTGTCTTCTGGAGACAGGGGCTCCATAAGACGCAGGCCGTTATCTTCTAGAAATGCCTTCCTTCTGGCAGCTCGCCAGATTGAGGCTCGTAGATGGTGGAAAGCAAACAGGATGATGGTAGCCCTTGCTTTTCCGTCATCCCTTAACGATCCCAGTCGATGAGCTTTGTCCACGCCTTCGGTTAATCCAGGGGTGTCCAAACTCGGTCCTGGAGGGCCGGTGTCCTGCAGAGTCTAGCTCTAACCCTAATTAAACACACCTGGAGCAGCTGTAGCGTCTGGACCAATCAAAAACACAATTTTTCATTTGATTTAACAAATCAGTTATTCATTAGATTAACAAGTCGTCACAGACCCCTCACCGAATAGACTGGGCGCCAGGATGTCTGCGAATGACCACAGGCCACTGGTTACCACGCAATCCCGACACCTTTGCTAGACCAGAGCCATTTACGACCTAATGGAATGTGAGTAGGGAAAATCACTGCATGTTCCATAGCAAGAGGCACAATGCACAGTAGAAATGGACTTTTCTACTAATTAATCCATAGGAAAACCTTTCTTTGAATGAACACACATATCCTTCAGGTCATCGTGTATGTTGTCTTTGAGATTTTATACTGTTTTATGCAGGCTTGTGATGGAAACACTCATTCCTGTCATCCTACATATATGTAACCCTACCATGTTTAGTATCTATGAATTAGTCTTCTGATGATCTAAACGAGAGTGTATATTATATGTTGGTACATAGGCAATATATTAGTGTCCTGAGAATCTTTAGTAATTTCGATTCAAGTTCCATATGCAAATTACCATGCTTCCACACAAAGAGTCATAAAACTCCCCAGTATTTCCAAACTCCCACTTGGGATTTCCGTCTTTCTCATTGGACAAGACCCTTTCGAGAGGCGAGAATCTTCCGAGACCTTAAAAAGGCCTCACACCAGGGACCCGCACAGAGTCGGTGGTTTGGTTGAATTCTGAGAAGATGAAAATGTAATTATAACTAGTTATGATTAATTATTCATATTTCCCCATGAGCTGATTCGCTACAGATTTTGGTGGAGAATGCGGGCATGATAAAACAAAAGTTATGAGTTTTAAACACTGTCAACCTAAAAGTGTATGCGTGATAGTCCAGGTTAAAATTGGGCGTGACTTGAGATCTGCTGTTGTCTCCCTATTTGCTGGCTTGTTTAAATGCAGATAAAGTTGGGGCTTGAATTTGTATCTCTATTATGATTGAAAGAGTCTTTATGGATTTCATGCTTAATGGTAGCAGTGTAAGGTTAATCTGACCTTAGCGAAGAAACCCTAATTTCAGTATTAAAGCATAAGTCTGTTCTGACGAAGCATAAGTCTGAATCTCAGCTCAGTGGCATGTCCAAACTGTACCGTTTACTCATAACTGGAGTCCCTAATCATGCCGATTTATGCTACAAGCTCTGTGTAGAGTTGTACAGTATGAAAGTTATTTCCCTTAACCAGGAAATTAACGTTCTTAGAATTGACAGACAGTTGACCCTGAGAGGTCAAGTAAATATCTACAGCAGATCTAAATATTTATAATTAATTATAACTAGTTATGATTAATTATTCATATTTCCCCATGAATGAGCTGATTCGCTACACAGCTAATCAAGCTCTTAGGAACTTCCATTCAGGTGTGTTGAGGCAAGTTGGAGCTAAACTCTGCTGGACACCAGCCCTCCAGGACCGAGTTTGGACACCCCTGGGTTAATCCATCGCAAGCGATTTTTCCACAGGTGTCCACTTCCACCTTTCAGATGTCCTCCCCTTCTTTTTCTCTTACTCCATGTAACTTCAGCAGCCATCTCCAGCTATAACGTCTGCATTCACACAGACCGGACTTCAGGGACTTATTTTCCTCTTTCAAACTTTGTATCTGTCCATCAATGCATTTCGAGGCGTCTTTCTGTTGTCCGACATCCAGTGCAAGCTGGTGAACCATCGCGGAGAGATTTTCAAGCAACTTAGATGTAGCTTCGGCTGTCATTTCAATTGTAGCAATATTTTTAAAGAATGCATCATGTTTAGCAGAAAGTTCTCGTATTGCAGTTAGTATATTCACATTTCCGTCTCTTTCTTCTGGATCTCTTCCCACTTGTCACTTGTTTTTGCGGCGTCTCAGGAATGAGGGTAACTATAGCCTCTGTATAAAAGGCTTTTGTAAAGGTGGTCCCACACTCATATAAGTTCAACATGCATTTTAGTATTAGTAAAACTGCTAAACTGTTCAACACTCCCCTGTATGCTGTTCACAGATTAAGGTATCATTTGAATGAAGACATTTGGACATTTTAACATATGGATGATCACCATCTATATGTTTTCATGAGCTTAGTTTAGTCATTTATAATTGCCATAAATGCAGTAAAGCAGTAAAGCTTTCAATTCTCATGTGTCTAAGTGTTGACCAGTAGTTCATGTTCCTGGAGGCCTCCCACCAGTACATACTTCCAGGAGTGTGGAAAAGAAACAGAAGCCTTATTAGAAGTCAGTGTAACATTGGAATGCTTTTGCAACTGATATTTCAAGGTAATAAATTAATTTTATTTGTTTATATATATAGCGCTTTTCACGATACAAATCGTTGCAAAGCAACTTTACAGCAAATTCAGTTTCTACAATATTTAGTGGTAGCTTATCAGTGGTGACTGTCAGTTAATATACATATGGCAGAAATGTACGGAAAAATCAATTAAAGACGTAATCAAACAGACGATGAACACTATTAACAGCAATTATTATATTATGCAATCAAACGTATAGCAATATTTGGTAGTTCTGTATGTTGTTTCAGGGTTGGCATCATCTGAGGTCCTCTGAGGGGTTGGCATCATCTCTTCTCAGGTGTTCTGGATCCAGACTGAAGCTTGCATAAATCCTAGTTACCACAGGATGTCAATCCCGTGGCAAAAACAGAGAAATGAATAGAGACATAATTAGCGTGGCTGCTGTTCCAACCAAGCAAAATTTATTTGTTTAACCCAAACTAAAGAATAATAATGTGCATTTGATCAGATATACCTACAATCCTTGAGCAAATTTTTAATTGATTGAACAGCTTTGTTTTTAGCATAACAGACAAACTCCTATACCAAATGGAGTTGCAGTATTGCAGTACACTCATTATCACAGACATAAAGAACAACAGAAGAATCTGCTTTCTTACTCCGAATGACCTAAAGACTATGAAGAAAGTAGATTATCTGCTTTGTTCTTTTACAGAGAGCATCAATATGATCTTTCCATGATAACATATCGTCAATCATCACTCCTAAATACTTGTATGTTTTAACCTGTCTGATTTTTCCATTATGAATAAAAACAGGCGTTATATAATTATCAGATGTAGACCCAAATATAATCTCTTCTGTTTTACTTATATTAATAACAAGATCATTGTTCTCACACCACTCAACTAATTTAGTCACACCCTGTTGATGAAACCCAGGACTGTCCCCGTCATTCAACACAGATATTAAAACAGTGTCATCAGAATACTTTAAAATATACTAATTTAACATGTCAGTTCGACAGGCATCTGTATACAAGGTGAAAAGGATGGCAGAACTGACGCAACCTTAGGGTACTCCGACATTTTTTATGATAGCGGATGACAGTTTTATTCACTTTGACTCTCTGAACTCTATTAGTGAGAAATGAGATATACCAACGAATCAAATACGGATTTACACCCAACTGTACAAGTTTTGACATCAATTTGTCAACCTTTATGGTATTGAATGCAGAAGAAAAATCTAAAAACAAAGTTCTTATAGTTGTATTAGATTTATCTAAATGTTTAGAGATGATATGCACCAAAGCAGCAACTGCATCTTCCGTACTACAACCTTTTTTATAGGCAACCTGCCAAGGATCCAGTCTATCTTTAACCATCCTAACTAAGTGCTGAAGCAACAATCTTTGAAGACATTTCACAATTACTGAGGTAAGGGCTATTGGTCTAAAATCTTTATATTCTCATATGATATATGATTTTCAAAAGACAAGTTGCTATCTAATATAACACCCAGATTTTTGACTGTAGAGGAAGTAACAG